ATGAGCTATGATAACATCCACTGAAAATGATCTTTAGGAAGAACTTTTAGTGACATGGGAAAATGACTATACTATGATAAGGAAAAGAAAAGCAGAAAACACAATTCATGTGACTTAATGCATAAAATGATCTCAACTATGAAAGTGCGCACAGAAGCATACACTAAAACACTTGGCAGTGATTAATTTCTTTAGCTAAAAAGACAAAGAATTATTGGTTATTTTCTCTTTTTTCCTGTTTTGTATATTGTCTGTAGTGAGCCTTATACTATTATACATATATCCCCTGTTTTTAAAAGTCCATGAAGCACCACTTGATTTTATGAAAACCTACATCAGTACCTATTTTTGCTAACTGAAAGAAATCCGAAGAAGACTTTTGCTTTTACAAAAAAAGGTGCAAAGGGAAAAGGTGATCAGCCTTTGTCTGGCAGCGACCCTTATAGGGGAGCTTACAGACCCTCACAGACCCGCGCAGAGGGAGGCCTCTCCAGGCCCCTTCCCTGAGAACCACACTCAGCATCTCAGTATCAATACCAGAGCTCTGAACAGTGTCTGAGAGCATCTGTGCTTTATCTTGATGTACTCTGTGCATATGTTAGCAAGATGTGTCCTAAGGTATCAGAAAAGCCTAACGGAGGTTATTTCCTGAGACTGGGAACGCCCCCTCTTTTTTCCTTATAAGCTATTGGTAACTGCTTCGTCATTTTATGCCATTTCAGCTTACAAAGGTTTCAGAGGACTCCCTACTTAAGGGTAGTGGGGGAAACCTGTGATTGTAAATTAGTTTCTGAAGCAAGTTCATCGAGAAATAGCATCTCTACGCTTGTGTGCCACCCCCTACTCCTGCCTTTAAGGCAAGGATTCCAGGAGCCGTAGGGAAACCTGAAGGATCCTTGACCACTGGAGCACTTGAGCCTTCAGTACTCTGAGGTCACTATTAGACATATTCTTGGTGAACTAGAAACCCATTATGCTTCTCGGTGCAGTAAAGGACCAGAGTCAGGCAGGCTACCAGTAAGGGGCACATGGAGGAGATGCTGCCATTGGACCAGGTGAGCTGGTCCATCTTGGGGAAACTTGATATAAGCAAGATGGCCCCCTGTCAGCCTGGATCAGCTGGGATTCCAGAAGAAAATTAAGCCTTTACTGCCCTGAGGGCATCCACTGTATATAATGAATTAATTTCTTGCCTGTTATCTAGAATGGAACCTGCTATACTTTTTCTAGATCTGGAGGCAAAGTTGATAAACTTCTCCAGACATTGTGGGGGAGAATTCAGAGGATGGGAGCTGAAGGCTTCAGGAGCTGTATATGGAGTACTTGGTTAATATCCTCCTTAGGGTATGCATAGCGGTGGCCCCAGAGGTTATAGGGGAGCTTGATGGGTCGGGCTAAAAATGTCAGCCTGTAATCTCAGATCCCTAGAGAGCTGGGAAATAGAAGAACAAGGAAAGGAAGAAAAATCGTAATGAGTCGTGAGGCTCATTCTGCCCAGAACAAACTGAAAGGGAAATATGGCCGTGACTCCTCCCAACAATTCAGATCTCAGAGTGTAAATTTTTGGACCGATTGAATCGGTTATTTACAGAAACTGGAGAAAAGGAATCACTGCCAGATTTCCCTTCATTTGAAAATTTGGACACAAAATCACATTTTCAAGTAGTCTTAGAAGAGTATAGATGAAATCATAACTTCTGTGGATTCTATCAAGTACGAGAGTGGCGTTTGCAAACTATTCATCCTTTGTTCATCCAGCAGGCGTTTATGAGCCAGGCAGTGTGCTCCCTGCTGGGGCCCTGGAGGTGAGTGAGAGGCAGGGAAGTTTAAGGAAAGCAAAGAAACAGACAATGCAAAACACTGCGTTAAGTGTAGATAGTGCATAAGTGACAGAAGCTACAGATGGTGCTTCGTCAGCACAGGGGGAGCACACAACCCAGCCCGGAGGTGCCAGGAAAGCAGAAACTGGTCACCTGAGCTGAGCCTGGAAAGAAGAATAAGGAGTAGCTAGGCCCAGGGGTGGGTCCAGTTCCCAAATTACAGGAGGTGGTGTGTGCAAAGGCAGAGGGGCAAGAGAGAGCATGGCGCCTTGGAGAGCCAGTGGCCAAGTGCCGATGCAGCAAAGGGTAAGAATCAAGGAGAAGAGTATTAGCCACAGGGACAGGCATTGGACGGCCAAGCCCCGCTCGCGAGGGTGGACTTGATCGTGGACGCTATGCTGAGCGACTGAAGGCTTTTACACAGCAGAATGTCAAGATTGTGGTTTCAGTGTTAATAATAAGACACTAGCAGCTGTGGGCAGGGTGGATCGCGGCGGGGTGCGGGGAGAGCTGGGAGAGCGGCTGGGAGGTTGAGGCACTCTCACGGTTGCTAAGGGGGACACGGGGGGCGGTAGACGTGTAACCGAGGAGGGACAGAGCCGAGAGGGATGGCAGGGGTAGGACCAATAGGCCCCCGAGGCCAGGAGAGTTTGGAAACACTGGGAGGGGATTAGAGCAGGATAATCCCCAGGGTTATGACCCAGACGGACTTCTGTTTACTCAAGTGTGGAATGCAGGGGGAGAAGCAGGCTTGGGGCGGGCCGGGGTGACAATGATGAAGTTATTTTTAGGGGAGTTGAATTTGAGACACTTGAGGAATCCAAGAGGCAAGTGAATGATCTAGAACTCAAAATAGAGATCTAGGCCAGGGATGGAGAAAGAGCACGTGAAGAGGAGCTGAATGGCCCGGGTTGGACAAGGGTACCTGTGAAGGCCGCGTAGAAGGGCAGAGCCCTGAAAAACTTCCATGTTTGGGTGTTAGGGGAAGAGCTGCTCGGAGAGGAGAGGAGGAGGGGGCAGGAGAGAGAAACAGACCAGGCGAGGGTGGTGTCTTGGCACCCAGGGAAGTGAGTGTTTTAAGAATGAGAAAGTGGTCAAATGCCGCAAGGTGAGCCAATAGGGTAAAGACTAAAAAGGGTCCCCTGGGAACAGCGACAAGAGGTCCTGGGAGGCCATGCCGAGGTGGAGGTCAGCCGGGGGGTGGGGGCAGAGACCTGTGGCGTGAGCATGAGTGTAGGTGCCATTTCCCACACTTGGCCTCCCTAAGGAGGGCAGGTGGGAAGTGGACAGGAGGGGCCAGCAGGAAGGAATGTTGAAGACAAGACAGAGCAGACATGAGCCTGGGACAGGAGAGGGACGTCTCTGGCATGAGATGAGAGAGCTGGGGACAAACTTACACATATGGATGCTTAGAGGTTTTCTGGTAGCACAAGAGAAACCTGAAGGTATTCTCACCTGAGGGCTTCAAGTTTCTCAGTGAAATAAGATACTGGGTAATCTGCCAAGGGTGAAGAGTGATGGTGGGACAGGAGGGTTCATAGAGAGGGTTTAACTTTTGGAGTAAAAGAGGACGTGTAGTGGCTTTCTGGGCAGCCTTGGAGGCTTGGCTGAGGTTAGTGGGGTTAAACCACAGCAGCGCCAATACGCATGGCGTGTGATTTTCTCCAGGTCTGAGCAGCAGCTTAGCTGCGGGACTAGATGTACCACACGTCCAGGCCGGGTGATGAGATGTTGGGGGCCCAGCATTACTGCAGGATAATGCTGAGAATGACTAGAGTAAGATACAAACAAAACAGGAGACCAGGTAAAGCAGGAAAGGGTGTGAAAATGGAAAAGTCTGTCCATCCTGGGAGCGATCAGGCTGAGAATGAGCCCAGGCCACGGGGTGGGATACGTCTTTAAGCTGCCATCTCTGGAAAAGGTGGTGAGCCCTGGGCTAGAGGAATCTGACCTGGGTTTAGTGCACAACCAAACCTTCTAATGTGGGTCAGGAGGACAGCAGGCAGGGCGTGTTCAAGGGGCAGGAGGGCACTCTGGCTGTTCCCAAAGGTGGACCCCACTAGAAATGATGATGGTGGCTATCACTCAATTAAATGCCTACTGTTTGCAAATTACTATGTTAGACCTTCTTCAAACTTTTGTCCTCCATCCATGTAAAGTCTCACCAATTCAGGTTGTATTGCCTCTATTTGCAGGTAAAGAAAGTAAAAGCGCATTAGCATTTTCTAAGACCCAGCACATCTACTCCTAAGTACACACCAAGAGAAATGGAGTCATACATGCACCAAAAACCGTACGAGAATGTGCACAGCAGCATTGTTTGTGACAGCCCCAAACTGGACACAACCAAAAAGTCCTTTAACAGTGAAATGGATAAATAAATGATGGCATAGGCATACTGGGGCGGAGCACTATGCAGCAGAGAACATGGCTGCACTCTCAAACATACACTGAGGGCAAGAAGTCCAATCAAAGAACACATACTACATGATTCCATATGTAAAATTTAAAAACAGGCAAGCCTAACTCGGGGGTTGGACATCAGGAGGGGGGAAGACAAGCAGAGATGGCGGACGCGAGGGGCAGGGAGGGTAGTGCAGGGCTGGCGAAGTTCCAGTTCTAGTTCACTTGGTGAAAATTCAGGAAACTCTACCTTTATGGTTTGTGTGCTTTTCTGTATTAGAAAAAAATACATTATTGTCAAGTACAATCTGTAACACAAACATTAAAGAGTACAAATAACAGAAAATAAAGCTTATAGACAATATATGCTCATCTTAGGCCACACAGCTGGGATGCAGTCAAGCTGGGACTGAGGCCCCGGTCACCGTGGCTTGACTTGCAAGCTCATACGTGTCCCACCAGGCCAGCCAGCAGGGGTGGGATGGGAAAGGCCCTGTGAGCTCCCTCCTCCTTGGGCCTGGGCTGCCTTGGGGATAGAAGAGGTGAAAATCTACTGGACTTCCAAGCAGCTCTGGCAGCTGGCTGTTGTCTGTTGACTGTACATATGCCAGATTTCATATCTGGAAGCGTTTCCGTGTTTTCTCCCTCCCACCCAGGGAGCACTGAGCATTTTCCTTGTGATCTGAGGTTTAACCTTGACTATTGTTACAGCCTCCTAAGTTTCTCCCCGCTTCAGCCCAGCCTATATATATGTCTGCCAGTGTTGTCTTCCCCCAGGAGCACTTTGCACATGTCAACGCATGACACACCAGCCTCACTCCCCCTCGACACGTGTATCAGCCTGAGTGCATCCCGGCCCATATCTGCTGCGTTGCCTCCCCATGGAAAGGTGACTGCCTGCTGCTAGGCCGAGCCTCAGCCCCGGCGCATTCCATCTCTTCTTGCCTCCTCCCCAGGGCCACCGAGGTTTCCCTCTCCATCAGACTACCCCTAGGAGCAGACGGACGTGCTACAGCATTCCATCTTTAAAAAAATCCTCCCTTGGTTCCACATGTGTCTCCAGTTGCCACCCTATGTCATCACTTCCCATTAAAACCAAACTAAAAAAAAAAAAAATAGGAGAGGCTTGTGTACGTTCTCTTTCTCCAGTCCTTATCCACCAAACTCCCCCATGCCCACTCCTCACTACCAGGAGCTCAGTCGTGCCAAGGTCCCAGTGGCTTCCACCTTTCCAGTCACTGTGGCGATTCTCTGCTCTCATCTCCAACCTCTCAGTAAGAATGGACACGGGGACACCCTCCCCTCCTTTAAGCCCCTTTTCCTCTTGCTTTCATGGGAACATTCAATCTCCTCCCCTTCTTAGTCTCCTTTGCCGGCTCCTCCTCTTCCGGCAATGCCTACCTGTCAGCTAACGGAGGCTGTGCTCCTGGGCCCTCTGCTCTCTCCACACTCACCGCATAGTGATCTCTTCCAGGCTCATGGGTTTCCAAACCATCGATGTACTGATGCTCCCTAATCCAATCTCCAGCCCTACCTCCCCATGAGCCCCCGACCTGTACCTGCCCTGTCAACCCGACCCATCCTCCTGGCGGCCTACCAAGTGGAATGAGCCCATCTGTTCAGACCAGAATTCTCGATCCCCTCCAATCCACGGCTCCTCAGCTGTTTCCCCTCTCAGCAAACGGCTCAGGCAGGGCTGCTCAGCCCCGCCTCTCTCTCTCCCCCGGAGGCCAGCCCATCCTGACTGTGCCACCTTTAAAGTATTGCCTGAATCTGACTGCTTCTCCTCGAACCATCCTTAGCTCTTTCCTGAGCTACCGCAGCCCCCTTCCAACTGCTCTCCCTTCCCCTGTGCATTCATCTTCAAGCTGCAGAGTGAGTGATCCTTCTAAACTCAGATCACATCTAAATAAACCAGACCGCATCTCTCCCCTGTTCAAAACCCTCCCGTGATGTCTCACCACACCTGGAATAAAAATCCGAACTCCCTCTGCTGCCCCAGGCAGCCTGCATCATCCGGACCTGCTCCCTTCTGGGCTTTGTCCCCTGCGACCCTCCCCTTGCTCCAGTCACGCTGGCCTGGCCAGTCCCGCTGGCCTGGCCAGTCCCGTGGCCGCACCCCACCTGCTCCTGCGTTGGGCCTCTGTGTTTGCTGTCCCTCTGCTTGGAAAGCCCTTTCTCCGGGCCTTCCATCGCTGGCTCCCACTGTCCATCCAGGCTCTGCCTCCGGGTCGCCTCGGAGCTGGCGTTTTCCTTGATTACCCTGTAGGAAATGGCTCCCCACCAATATGGTCAGTCTATGTACTCTCCCTAAAACTGCATTCTTTTTCTTTATCATATATATACATATGATATATGGTATGTGGTATGTGTATAGACGATATTTAATCTCTGTATGTGTGTGTGTGTATTGTCTGTCTCTCCATTAGAATACAAGGGCCTCATCTGTCTTATTCACTACTCTCTCCTAGTGTTTAGGAAGCACCTCATATAATAGGAACTCGCTAAATAGTTGGATAATTAATGGCTTAATGGGATCTCCCTCCCTCCTTGTAAACACAAGACATGATTCATGAATCCTGCCTAGGAAAAGAATGCAGAGAACGGGGTGGGTGGAGAAGACAGGTGTGAAGGGAAGGGGGAAAGGAGGTTCCGGGGCCCCTACTGCCAGCACGCTGCTCGGTGCTTTATGTATATTATTTTGCTTAAGCCTCACCACTATCTTCTGATGAGGTGTTATCTCCATTTTTTAGATGGTGAAACTTGGGCTCAAAGAGGTAAAGTAATTTCTTTGGGTGTCACAGCCAGCAACCAGCAGATTAGGACTTGAATCCGGGACACTATTCTAAGCACTAGACTCAATACATTCTGCACCCAGAGCTTCACTGGAAGTTCTGCCCCCAGAATGTCCCATACGCCCGTCTCAGGGGGCAGGGATCCTGCCGGCCCTGCCGGCTGGATCCAGAGGTAAGGGCCGAGGAGCCTGGGCCGCTCCATGAGGGAAGGCAGGGCAGGGGGCAGAGGGTGGGCAGGCATGGGAGCAGGAGGCCTCTCTAAGCCCGGCTGTTGTAAAGAGCGTCCTGACGAGCCAGCATGTCGTTCCTGCAGGGGACCCGAGGGACAGACGAAGCCAAATTCTTCCAAAGCAGCATGTTATCTCTGGGCTCATGGAAGGCTGCAGACAAGGAGAACCCACCAGGCCCCCAGCCTCCCCACGGCCTCCCTCCACTCTGCATTGTTCCCAACCCAGCATCTCAGTGTGGGCCCTGGAGCCTGGGGTGTAAAATACTTTGCACTGTAGTTCAAAGAAATCAGGAGCCGGGGCGGGCGGGGAGTCAGCAGACAAGCCTGCCTTTCCCGTAAGTCGGCTCCTTCCTTCTCTTACCCCTTCTCTCCCTCTGCCATTCCCTCCTTCCCACCAACAGGGTTTTTTTAACCCCGTGAAAGATAAAACAGGAAAAAAGATTGGTGTGGCAGACATTCGGGTTCAGAGACTGGAGGATTTAGGGCAGGAGGCGGTCTCTGCGGTGGTGCCAGGTGCTTGCTTGCAGCGCCCCGCGACGCCGGCTCCTCACGGTCCCTCAGGCTGCTGCCAGCTCGCCATGTGACAGGCGAAGGAACTGGCCCTCACGAAGCTGTGCTGGTGGCATAGCACCGATGCACCCGTGGCGCCAGGAGGAACTCAGTGAGGTCATCGTCCTTCCTCGGGCGACTTAACTCAAGTTCACTGGCTCGGTGAGGGCAGAAACAGCTTCAGACTGGGACTATCTGGGTCCAAACCCCCATGGGCTTCCTCGCCACCACGCTGCCCCAGTGCCAACAGGCGCTTGGGGAGAACTGATACTCTGAACCAGGCCCCTTCCTTCTTTCGTGCTGGTTATACCAAAAGAGGTCTAACAAGAAAGCGCAGCCTGGGCTGGAAAGGGCCGTGTGTTGTGGTGCAGCATATGCCTGTTTATCCAACTCGGCAGGCATGTGAGTATCAGCTGTCTCCCCCGCCCCGCTCCTAGCTGGGCTTTGTTGCTGTTACTGCTCTGCGTGTGTGCATGTGCGTGCGCGGGCTTTCTGTCTCTACAGGGTCGAGTGCCCTTGCCCCCCTGCCTCCTGCACCTCTCCCAGGGCACTTCACCCGGACTTTGCACCCTATGGGCGCATCCGCAGTGCATATTGTCTGACACAGATGCTCCAGTTTCTAGGGTAGAGAGGCTGAGGGGAGGTGCAATAGGGCTTTGTCCCCGCCCTGGGTGTCTGCTCAGATGTGCCCCTTCCTGCCTCAGCGTGGGGACCCTGAAAGTCCCCCACCTGCCGGACACTGGTAGCAGCCTCCGTTTGGTAAGTGGGACTCCTACCCCACCTAACCATCTACACCCGCTCTCTCACCGCGGAGCCACTGCATTCTTAAAGCCCCCCTTGGTCCTGCCCGTCAGCCCCGCCTCCCTCCAGTCACACACCCCATCCAGCCAAGCTCTTATCCCTGATGTCCTGATAAGGAGGCGAGGGGTGGGAGTGGGCACTGATGCTTCACTGCTGGAAAGTCGTTCAGGGAAAATTCTATATATACAGAAGAAAACTCAGAATATATGAGGAAGAGTAATAATTAAAACAAACTCCTGTCGATCCCACCACCTGGTTTAAGAAGTGGCCAACGGTTTTTTTCAAACTCTGGATAGAAGCAGCTTCCAAACTCCAGGGAGAGATCTTAAACTTGCTGGGTACCTGCTTTGGCCTCCCAGGGTCAAAGGCCCCATCACCTCTCCCACCCTCTCCCCCCTGGCCTCCAGGGCTATTTTGGGTGTGCACTGGTCGGGTTAATCCCTTAAAGCCATGAGCCGTGCTGCCTGGGGTACTCCTGGGAGGGCCCAGGCCTCTGCAAAGGGCAGTCAGCGGGTTGTGCGGCCAGCCTCAGGCCTTGCAGGCATTCTTGTCCCTGCGGAGAGGGAGACACGGTGTGCGCTGGGCCAAGGACTGGGACTAGCAGGGGGTGGGGGGTGGGGGGCGGCTGAGGCGTGGGCCAGAGACCAAAGGGGAAGGTCAGGAGGCCCGGGCCTGGCAGCGATGGCTAGTGGGGTGCTTCTGGTTCCCTTCTGGGGTTCACCCCCAGGGAGAACCCCTGAGAGCTTCCTCCACCCCCAACTCAGCTGCTGCGGGTGGGGTGGAGGCGCTAATCCCCAGTCCCTGCTAATGCCAGGGAGGACAGGGACACAGGCTGGCGATTTTCTTTCCCACTGGGAAGGAAAGAGAACACAGGAGTTGACCTGCTGGGATCGTGTTCCTGAAACCGGAGCCAAGCCCCAGGGTTTCTCTGAACCACTGGCTGCACACCTGCTGCTGGGCCCTGTCCTCCACCTGGGCCACGGGAGGGCTCCAGGAGCTCCAGGCTGGGGCACTGGATGCAAGGTCTGCCCCTCCTAAGGGGGTAGGGGAGCCAGGGGTCAGCTCTACCGAATTCCACTTCCTCCCTCACCTAGATAGCATTCATTCAACAAACAGAGGCCGAGGCCCACCATGTGCCAGGCCCTGTGTTGGCGTTTTTCTTCCAGAATCACACAATTTGGTGAGGGAGAGAGACAAAGAAAACAGGTATGACAACATGACATCAAGACAGGGTCAATACAGTGTGGGGCTAGAGTGCTCAGGTCAGACATGGTTCCTCACTTTGTCCTGGGGTGGGGAAGACTACCTGGAGGAGGTGGCACCCAAGACCTGAAGACCAAGTAGGAGTTGACCTGGCAGAGGCGTGGGGCTGGGCGGAAGGATGTTTATGAAAGAGGTGGCAACCAATCCAAGAGACCCCTGCGGTGTTCCCTCCCACTCAGGGAGCAGCAGCCAGGGGCCCCTTTCCTGCCAGACCCACCTAGCATGACAGCCATAGTAAGAAGAGTCTTGGGGCTCCTCTCCCAGAAAAGCCAGAGCTCCAGATGGAAGCTCCAGATGGAAGGGCCTGCCTTCCACCCTTGGTTTCTGAAGTCAACATTTGATGATGGAAATTTTCAAACAAACATACAAAGTACAGAGAACCCCCAGAGACCCACCACCCAGCTTCAACGATTATCAACTAGAGGACAATCTTATTTCATCAATGCTCCTTCCCACTCCCCTTACCCACGTTATTTTAAAGCAAATTCCCTAATCTTATCAGTTTTCTCCCATAAATATTTCAGTATTTATGTCTAAAAGATAAGGATTACCACAATACCATTATCCCACTTAAAAGGAATCAATAAAATTTAGCAATATTTTCTGATATCTGGGCAGGATTTACTTTCCCTAATTCACACCTGATTCTAATAGTTTTAATCCCAAGTCCATACCTGGCTCTAATAGTTATTATGTTCCTAGTCTTGGCAACAGGAGATGAGCATTCAGCCAGATTGGACTGTCACAGCCATTGCTATGACCATGGTGGGTATATGGCCTCTGCTCTGCAATGCCTCTGTGGTGAGCTTGAGGCAGTTAATCAACCTCTCTGAGCCTCAATCTCCTGATCTGTATAATGGAGCTAAAAGTACTTGTCTCCCTAGAATTGTGAGGCTTAAATAAAAGAAAAGGTGAATGTGTTTGGCACACAGAAAGTTCTCAGTAAATGCTCGACTTGCTGTGCTTCCTTGGGTCAAGTGACCCAGGCTAACGGTTACTCTTTGATTGGACTGACTGTCAGTTGCTTACATGCGACAGAGGCCACCGTGGGTGCGAGCCTCAGCCAGTCCAGCAGCCCGGAGCCCCACCGCCACTCTGTGTGTGTGGCGTCGCCCGCCCCCTGCCTGCGCGTCTAGCTGTGCTTGCTCACCCTGGCTACTGGTTGGACAGACAGGTGGGGCTTGCACAGCCCTAGGGGACTCGGGGGAGTGGGGGGCTGGGCAGGGGGAAAGGTGTGTTTTTTTTTTCTTGTGTCACCAACTTCTGAGTTGCTTGACCCAAATGAATTAACTTGTGAGTGGCTTAGTTATTCAGACAGTAAGAGGCACTGGTAGCCAATCCAGGTTTTTCTGGTACTTAAACCCAAGCTCTTAACCGCACACTCACTGTTTTGCTAATGGTGCTGAAGAAGCCACTTTTTAGGCTTCATTCCCATTCACCTGGATTTACAAGATGACTTCTGCTCATGGCTCAGGAGGCACCCTGAACTCCAGCCGCCACTTGGCCAACATACACCCTTGGGCTGGGTGAGGCACACACATGCATGCATGCACACAGGTACATACACATGCATATGTGCACACATGTGCACACACGTGCACACACACACCCTCTGTTCCCTGATCGGCTCTGCCTGCAGAAACAAATGCATACCTGGCAGGGGCGAGGGAAGTGGGGCTACGTTTTTAAAGGGCTGAGGAAAAAGGTTGCTGGAATGAAACTTCCAGACACAGGGAAGCCCTCACAATCTCCTGGGCCCAAGCATCTTGCTTTGGGATTAAGAGTGTTTTGTGCTTGACTTCCACCTCGGAGTATCTTCCTGGGCACCAGATGCCACTGGGCACAAGGCAGTCCTGGGCACAGAGCCTGGGCCTGGGAGTGAGGCAAGAGGGTGCTGACCTCCAGAGTGAAAGTTTAGGGTCCCAGCCGGGGACTTACGGGGTGCCAAGGCCTATGCGTGCACCCCATTTCTTTCCCTGTTTCCTGACAGCCTTTTTGAGGCACCAGGCCCTCAGAGTAAGTTCCTGAACTCTCTCGTTTTTACCATAAATGTTTAGTACGCGTTCATCATGATCAGAGCTGCGTCAGAGGCAACCACCTCGCCCACAGGATGAATCGCTGAGCCTCCTGCCTCCGCTCGCTCTCCCGACAAGAGAAGTCTTGGCCAAGTCTTAAGCATGGGCCCCAGGCAGTCGGGACAGAGAATTCCAGCTCCTTCGCCCCCCTTTCCCTCCCCGCCCCCGCCACCTCCCCACTCTCTCAGCCCTGCCCTCGAGGAGCTGGGCTGTGTCCACAAACGCGCTGTCTGACACAATCTCACACCGCGCCAGGCATATTAGATGATAATACTGCTTTTCTCTTTCGTCGGTGAGAATGCACATGTCATTGGACACTCTGGACCCCAGTTTCCACAGGAGTAAAACAAAGGACAAGAATCAAGACCTAGCTTTTTCTTGCAAGAATACACCGTCTCTTGGACAATGAACAGGAGACGTGGCCAGTAAGTGCTGAGTGGAAGAGGATGAGTCCAGACACTTTGCACAGTTTTCCCACTAAACCACCTCAGACGCAGGGATTCTGCACAGTGATGCTCAGGGCGGGGCTAGTGTAGTTTGTCCCCCCGAAACTCACATATGAACAAGGTGAAAACAAAAAATCCCTCCAGGCCAACCCAAGACAGCAAAGTAGGTCTGCTTCCTGCCAGCCTAGATGTGGGCAGGCGTTTCCAGACGGTCACCCCCTGCCCTCCTCTGTCCCCTCCTGGTGACAAAACACTGTGGGGAAATATCTCCATCCCCCTAGGAAAGGGGCCTGCCAGCTTACACAAGGGCTTCCTACCCTCAGCAGGGGATGCTCCCACAGGATGCCCTGCAGGAAAGTGTAGACCCCTCCTTCTCTGGGAATGAAACCGAAGCCATTGTTTAAGAGCCACCTCCAACCTCGCAGAGTCACTTCCGACCTCACAGAGTCACCTCCAACCTCGCAGGGCCTGGGTGCCCCCTCCCATTGCTCTGGGAGCCCGTCACCCCTGAGCCTCCTCAGGGGGTCCATGTGCTGTGAGATGCCCAGAGGACCACAGGGTTTAAAAATGAGTCATCCCCCTGCGAAGATGGCATAGATTTCTCTTTTTGGGTGGCTGGCAAGAGACAGCAAGCATCTCTCTATCCTTCCACCCCTCCATACAATAGAATGAAATGAATGGGACGGGGAAAAAAAGTATTGGGGACCAGGAGAGAGGCAAGCTGACAACGAACACTTCAAGGGCACCCTCCACCCCCATCCTACTAGGATCCCATCTGCCCCTGTGGGATGTTGACTGCTGCCAACATAGCCAACTTCTGCTTTGTAACAGAAACTAGGGGTAAGAGACACAGCCAGTTCAGTGGGCGATAATTGGTTCAGAAGCATTAAATCCTTTGCCAACAAGGACTTCGCTTCACAGGGAAGCAGCATCCTAGCCACCATCAGGGTCTCCCCCTCCCTCCCTTCCTGGCCTCCCCCCAGGTCTGCGCTCACTCACGTCTATGGACATCTCCCTCTGAATAAGCTTCTTGGTCTCCTTTTCACAGAAGTTGAGCATGGCTTCCCGGTTGTACATGCCCGTGGACAGTTTCTCTGTCTGGTTTCTCTGCCGCAGCCCCACGGGGATACTCCCATCTGGATCCGCCACGTCCAGCTCCTTCTCCAGCTCCTCCATCTCCTCGGGGGACAGGGTGGACAGCAGGCTGTCGATATCAGGGTCTTCGCTCACCTGCCGGCGATACTTGGCTACCTTGGACATCTTGGCAAAGTGGGCTGCCACTCTTGCAGGGGGCTGTGGGCGTCCTGGAGGGCTGGGAGGGGGAGGGAGGACCCGGACGGAGCAGAGTGGGCTTGGGAGCAAACCCCCAGCTGGCCAAGGACCACTCGCCTCTGCCCTGCTAGCCACAGGTGCTGGCGTGTTAACTGGAAGCAGCAGCCTCCCCGAAGCCCAGGGCTGGAGGACCCTGGCTGCCCCGACCAGCAGCCAATAAGCCCTGATGAGGCCCAGCCCTGGAAGGAGAAGCCAATCCCCAAGCGGGAGGCGGGCCTGCCTTGCTGTCAGAGCTGTTTGAAACTTGAGGGCATTCCAGGGAATCTTGGAGCGTTGTGTGACCAAATTTAGTACAGAGCATTTAGCCTTTTAAAGACAAGGGGGCCACGCAATGAGAAAAAGATACAAAAATGCAGAGGCTGGCAGAGGCGGGTCAGAGCCACAAAGGGAAAAGCAGGGATGGGGCCATGGGGGTCCATGAAGAGGCT